GGTGGGGGTGAATGCAGGGAGCTCAGCAGTCCAAAACTTCAGGGCTATAATTCGACTTTTTAAGGCACCAGAGAATCACTGCTTTACTGATTTTAAAAACCTCACGTTTGCTCCAGACATTGGGCAAAATCTCTCTTGGCTGCTGTGAAATACAAAGTAAATGAAAGCAGAAAAGTACTTCCTACTGTACCATGTGTCAGGAAAGGTCACTGGTAACAGCAAATGTATTTGTCTATCTTGYAGAGGAAGAATATCATTTAGCATAGAGCAAGAGCCTTTAAAATCCTTAATCCCTCTACTACAAGTCAAAGTGAAATCAAGCTACTGAACATGAAACGTTTTTTTTTTCCTCCTAAACGAAACCTCACAGCAAATAACTTCATTTTGAAACCTCTCAGAAAGTTTTGAGCACTTCCTTTCTCAAAATCAGGGTTCTATTGTGTTTAATGTAAAATAGGCAGTTAGTTAAAGTCTTAAATCACTTCTCTCTGCAGTAACCTGCAGACCAATAATAATGTTAGCAACCTAAGTATTCATTGATAGCATTATGTTTGGTGTGTGACATTGCCTAATTTAAACAGGAWTTATCACAAAGTTGCTCAATTTTTGAAATACATAAGCTGTCTCTTTAAACTGATGTGGACAGACATACTAAGTGAAACACGAAGAGAAATGGATAGGAAAATTGAGGAAATGATAACAAAACCATTTGCAGAAGACTTAAGGAYGGTTAAATTGTAAAATCCCCGCAGAGATCTGTTGCAGAAATTGTGGGGGAGGGCACTAAAAATAAACAAAACAATAAACAAAAGGCAATGCTGAGAAGGTCAGCCCACAACAGCAGCACAGCGGGTGATGACTGGTTGCTTTCAGATCACCCCATGAGAGGAGCGATGCTCCCAGCTTGACCAACCATCCAGCACTGCAGCAGGTGGCTGAGGGAGTGCCCAACATCACAGAAAAAGGTTTCCAGGTTTTGAAAACTTATCACCCGAGGCCAGCACAATGCCAGGATTAGCCATTTTGGCATCTACAAATCAGCGATCCATTTGACACATGGTCAACATCCAGCTCAAGCAAATAATGGACACAGCACCCACAGCCTCTTGCTTGCTGTCTGTTGTATCTTTCAGTCTCTTTTTCCCTCTTCCAACTTTGCCAAGGACTGTCAGAACTGGCTGCCTTCAACAACCGCACCTCATTTGTCAGTGATGACAACATTCAACAGAGGGCAGAGAATCAGGATGCAGCGCATAGCAGCTGACTGACAGCTTGGACAAGGACTTGTGCTGCGAAGATGTCAGGTTATGCACATGCTTAGCATGTTACCGCAGACAGCAACCCTCCCTCAGGAAGTCTCAGCTTCTGACATTGAAACATGACAACCATCCATGACAAGCTTYCAAAAAGGCTGCAAGCTTCAGGTACTTCTAAAGTAAAATAATTATACTCTATGGCCATAGAATAGGATCAGATAAATTAGCACTTTGCGGGGGTTCATTTCATCTCTGCCTAATTCCAGACATGCTGCAGAGGTCCTAAGAGGAAAGCTACCTCTGAAGAAATTGCTCAAGGCAGGACTTGAAGAAAGATGGAGCCTGACAGAAGTTCTGGCATTGCAGAGGCCTGCTTGAGGTGAGAGACAGTTACCAATTTTAGGATGGTTGGTTATCTGTGGAATCCACTTCTCCCTAGGCAACACGACCTGCCCTCCTAGCCTATACTAATAAGARTGAATGGAGGGTGGAGCGGAGTGGCACCGCAGCCAAACTCTATTGTGCTTCCTGCAGAGGTGGCAGCCAGGTGGTATCACATAGGTGACAGGCCACCTACATGTGATGGAAGCCCACAGAGGCTGCATCTACTTGCCACAAGCACTAACACCATGGGTAACACCATTGACTAACACAGCTTGGACAAGGGGCAATGGGTGTAAGTTGAAACACAGGGAGTTCCATCTCCAGGTGAGGAGGAACTTCTTCACAGGGGTAACAGCCCTGGCACAGGCTGCACAGGGAGGCTGTGGAGTCTCCTTCTCTGGAGATCTTCCAAACTCACCTGGATGCCACCCTGTACCCTGTGCTCTGGGTGTCCCTGCTGGAGCAGGRGTGTTGGACTAGATGATCTCTAGAGGCCCCTTCCAACCTCAGCCATTCCATGATCTTCAGAATAAAGTGAAGCAACACAAGTTCTGTCTACCCCATAGTAAGAATGTTTAAGAATGCTTAAGCTGCTACCACCTGCTCTGGGGTGTTGATGAAATAGTTGCTTTTCTTGAAAGAAAGTATGTGCCTTCCTTGCAGGATTCTGAAGGATATCTATCTGTTGTCAAAGAACACATACAATCCAGTATCTTTTCCTCTCCTTTAAGTCAAAATAATTCTGCCTGGAAAGGAAGTATCTATTCAGTCCAAATTCTGCCACATAATCAGAATTCCAGAATAGGCCAAAGAAGAGAGATACACGCACCAAAAAAAAAAAACAAACAAACAAACAAACAAAAAAAAACCCACAAAACAAAACTCCCACACAAAACATCTCAGTTTTATGAATATGGGAAAACCTGCTTCTAAGTCAAAGAAAGTCTAAGCTAATCTTTAAAGTCTGTCAAAGATTTATAGGATTTTCCCCTCTAACTTCACAAATGTTTCAAGTGTTCAAAAGTGCCCAGTACAGGACACTGTAAGAGTAAGCTTACCTGTGAAGTTACTTCTGCTCATTCCCCCACCTAATCTTATTAAATACGGCTGAATTGTTGTGCTTACAAACATAGAAGCAAGAACTTTCAACTGTTCAGGAAGCATCAACTCCAATTTTCAATGAAACCTGAGCATGGTGTCATTTTTTGGTCAGACCATATGAAGGAGAAGGATGATCATCTTTAAGATGTGTACCAGTCTGGTGTRATTGACAGTTCATTCTTACATCCAGGAAAGCTCATACATAATTTATTAGTAAAGTTTTCATAAGCATCAGCACCTTTATTTTTCCCCATCTGATCTGTGCAGGATATTTTTTTTCATAAATAAAACAAAAAAGAGAATAAAAAGCACAAGCATTGACTGATGTAATTTTAAAAGTTTATTTACAATATTTGGGCATAATATAGACAAACAATTTGGCATATGGTTTGTTACAAAGAGCTGATRTATAAAACTGAAAAATACTGGGTAGTACGTTTATTATCTTTTATATGTAATAAGGTTTAAGTTTTAGTAACATAATTAGGCCATTAACCCCCCCCAGACTGCAGCCACATATTTCAAAGTAATATTTTAAAACCCCATTTAATATAGGATTATTTAACCCATTGTATTAAGATTTTGCTCTCTGATTCCAAAGTAGTGGAATGAATATCCATTATGTTACTAGATATTTCAAAAATAAAAATAAGGAATTCCTGAGAGGACTGATGGCTGAACTGAATTCTGACTGCAATATCCTATGAACCCATTTCTGTACTCTCTATAGAAAGCAGTACAGGTGAAATTGTTTTCTTCATCTTCAATATATGAAAAAACACACATAAGAAAAAACAAATTATTTTAAAAATACCAGGACAAAGTAGCCACATTTTTCCCCTCAGAGAAACTAATAGAACAGGAGACCACATTAAATTGAATGTAAAAATCTATTTTATAACAGTGTATTGTGCTAAAAATACCCCAGGAAAAAAACAATATAGGATGGAATAAGGCTATTCTGTCCAGTTCCACCGTAACGAAATACTTCAAACATGCCAAATGCTTTTATAATTAAAAACTGTAATCTCATGTGGAAAAGTCAATTTCCCTATGATTTAGGTGCAGGAACACTATCCAAACAGAGCCRAACTCTTCCTTTCTAGCAGGAAGGCTGAAAACTCTATGTGAATGTAAAGACCTGGAAACACGGGCAGATTCCACCTTTCCCTGCTCCCCCAACACATTACTGACCGCACTTTCTAGCACCCAGCCAGTCTCAGCACACGCTCCACTTCACTCGTGCTTTTAGTTCTCTAATATTAGAATATTAAAGACTGGCTGGTTTACTATAGTTCACTACCTACACAGTAAAGTTCTATGGTAGAACATTACAGAGAGCTGAAGCTCTGTCGACTACAAAGTTTTTAAAAAAATAGTATTTTCTGCTTTTTTCAGTCCAATAAATATGGGTACAGATTATCCTTTATAGACATGTGTGTTTATATTTGCTGTTTGGACTATACATTAACRAAGCTTGACAATATTATCAGTAAAAGTTGTGAAATTATTCATAWGATCAGAATTACAGAATGCTAAAAGCTACAGGTAAGGTGACATGCAAACAAATTGCTCTTGGGATTTAGAAGTGGTCCTTATTAWTGAAATGCAGGAAATAAACAGCCCCCAAAATTTTGAAAGGCCAATCTTATAATTCAGATTTCAAATAAATTGTGTAGCAAGAAAACTTTTAGTTATATATAATCTTTTGAGAAACACACACAAAAAAAGCTTATGAAACGCAGGTAACACAATGGATGTGTCAATGGATGAGGTTTAAATTCTTCGGACATAGAAAATTTTCATTGGAGTTAAACAAAACAAGGAAAGAAAAGCAAAGTATTCTACTTGCCTGAGAGATGACTAGATTTCATACACCTAAATCTAAAAATCAAAGGGGATCTGATCAATATGTGCAAGTACCTGAAGAGTGAATGWAGGGAGGAAGGGGCCAAACTCTCCTATCACTGGCCACCACTGAGAAAAATGTGAAATGGGTGTAACCTGCAACACAGGCAGTTCCATCTCCACGTGAGGAAGAACTACTTTCCTGTGAGGGTGACAGAGCAGTGGAACAGGCTGCCCAGGGAGGCTGTGGAGTCTCCTTCTCTGGAGATCTTCCAAACCTGCCTGGATGCCGCCCTGTGCCCCGTGCTCTGGGTGTCCCTGCTGGAGCAGGGGTGTTGGACCAGATGATCTCTAGAGATCCCTTCCAACCATTCTGTCTTTCTGTGTAAACCTGTAGCATTTAGCTTCAACTCAGAAAAACAATCCCATAAAACCAATTAAGTTCTATTAACTTCTTTAGTATCCTCTGTATAGAAAACAGATTTAAAGCAGCAGTTTAGTAGAAAGAGAGCATGAGCATACACAAGAACTTAGCAGCAAGTAAAATCTCAAACTCTCAAGGAAATTCACAAAAGGTATCTGCAGGGTAGAGATTTATTGACATTTTACAAGGGGAAAAATGCAATTAGGAGACAAATATAATAATTAAACATACAAGCTCTGGGCTCCTACCCAGATATTCATCTCTGTGGTTGAGATGCAGTGTTAAGAACAGGGCTCCTCAACGCAGCCCTCCCAAAGACTCAACACAGCCTCTGGTGGTTATAAAGGAACATGACTGAACAGGTAAGACACTGATTCACCATTGTGTGTTCTTCGAATTGCCTCGGCCAGGATCATAGAAATGTCAATAAACTATGAGAAAAGAAAGAAAAAAGTCAAAAAGATGGCAATTTACTGTTTTGATATCCTATTAAACTTTCCTGTGCTTTCAGTTTCCTATTCTGCCCTCTTACTTCAACTAGAAGAAAAATTACAGCAAGCCATTCAGTAAGCCTAAGATGAGGACTGTGCATTAATACAAAGTACAGACTGAAAATTCAATGAGAAAGTAGCTTAACCGCTGAGGGCTGCTGGCACAAGCCATGTTGTCATAAGAAACATTTCATTGCAACCATCAGATGGCAGTGTCCACATAAAACTTAGCTAGTATTACACTTCAAGTGTAATAGAGTCAAGTTGTTCTATTTCAATGTAACATATAAAGCACCACTTTATATTCCCTCTTACCAAATTAATGGTAAATAGAAATAAAACAAAAAACCCCACAAATGCACTAACGGGACACATGACTTCCATGAATAATYTCATGTACTGAGATAAACTAGCTCTGTATTTTCAGCTTGATTTTCAAATCATATCGTTATCTTGGGCATTTCATTAGTGTATTTTCAAACACAAGGACACAGAAGATCTCGGTAGCATTCACAATAATGTAAGTGGCTTGAGTTCCCACAAACAAGTATTCTATAATGAAAACTGATTAATTTTTTTTTAAAAAAACAACATAGCCAGCTTTAAACCCACTATCCTTTTACTGGCATGCACACTTAATCTGCTGCATTATTATATAAAATTTTCTCACTATTTTATCATACTGAGTTTCCTTAAAGGAGTTCAGCAGCATAACTTAGCCGTATGTTCTGCAAATAACCTAGCTGCAAAATATGTTTGAGAATATTATTTTCATTTTAAAGCACAAAACTCTAGAGAATCRTAAAAAATCAGATTTTGAACAGATGACAAAAAACCCCCAAAACACTACAGTACCTGAATTTTAGGGCAGTGTTTCATTTTCTCTTCTTGAGGGATTGTATTTGTTACCACAACAGCCTCAAATGCTGCATTATTAATTCGAGAAATAGCAGGACCAGAAAAGATCCCATGAGTCAGAATAGCATAAACTTTAGTGGCTCCAGCAGACACTAACCTGAAGAACATAAAGAAAGAGCATGCACATTTAAATGCAGTTCTAGATGAAACTTTTTTGAAATGGAAGTGAATTGTACTTGGAAAGAGGTTTCTGAGGTCAAAAAAAGGTTATGCTCAAAAGTCTAGCTTAATGCAAGATTGGGAAAGATGTTGCTGATTCAGAAGACAGGGAGATGATGCAGCGCACAAAAAAAATGGAAATAAAAGAACTAGAACAGTTTGTGAATAAGTCAGAATCTCTTAATTTGTTTTTGATAGGTCTCTCTATCTCCAAATACTCAGAACGATGTGAGACGATAGCTGAACTAGGACAAAAGGCAGCCTTGAACAGCTGTTCCTTTATTAGATCATCCCAAAAAGTAGGAAGGCAAGAGAAAAATACTGAAATATCATATTCTGAATGACTCACTAGAATCAAAGAATTTCAGTAATTAGGATATGCAACCTGAAAGGAGGGTACATTTTTATARTGTGTGCGAGTGTGAGCACTATGACTGAAGAAAAAAGCCTTCAGGCGAACTATCTACAGTATCTAGAAATACATGTCTAACCTAATCAACTAGATATGCCTTCGAGTTGCTAGGATAGACTTACAAAGTAGTTTAGATAAGTCTAATTAAGCAGAAATCGCATCTCATCTAGATTTGGCATCAATGAAAAGCACATCTCAACGCCAAGAATGCAGGAGCAGCAACAAGCAGCACTGTTCAAGCAAAAGCATATTCTGTTGAATGCTGCCCGTTTCTGATGCTTTTAGAATTTATCCACAGTAGATTACTATACAGCAAAGTCTCTTCTGCAGCAAGAAAAAAGAGAATTTTCCCTTTTGACAACAGTTAGGCTTCCTCTGTGCACACAGAGGTCAAAAATCACCGGCTGGACAAGTTCTGGTGTTGTCCAGGTGAGGCAGAGCACACAGGGCCGCACTGGGTTTTGATACAGATCACTATGTGGACAGCAAAGAACTGCATAAAATCCAACTGCAGAATCCCATCAAGTAAGATAGAAAAGACAAGACTGTAAAATTCTTCTGCCTTGAGTCTTTGACATCCTGATCATCTAGAAGCAGACAAGTTACAAGCCTGCAACTAACCTCTGCAAATGTAGGGGATGATATTTACTTCAGACTGCTAGTGGCAATGTCAAGCTCACTCAGAAATCATCCTTTTACTTCAGGGGAACAGGAAGTAGCTTTAGGTAGAAAGCACRTGAACCTACATGGAATCTGATGCTGTTCAATACTTTCAAGTGGTCTGTTAGTATATTGGGCAGAAATATAAGTTAAAACAATGTCAACTTAGAGATACAAKGTTTGAAAAGGATTAAGTGCAGGAGTAGCAGCACCATGGTAAGTGTTTAGCACCAAGATCCATTTAAGATCCATGCCAGTTTCCTGKCAGTTGGCTTCTACTTCTATTTTGAAGCAGGCACAACAATTTGGGGGGAGCTTTGCCATAAACAAGATAACATAAGATGTGAAAATAACCTTGGGATAGGAAAACTCAGGTGTCCAATCAAATTTAGATTGAAGTCCTTGACCTTCAAAAGCAGAGCTAACAATATTCATTGGGTGGAATATTGGAGTGGAAGGGCAGGAAGACTTCAGTTCAGTATTGCTCAACTCTAGTATCTCACATTAGTTCTTAACGAACATCTCTCCATTTCTCCATTTGTCAAAAAGACTTCTGAACCTAGAATTGCTGCCTAGAATTCAGTTGCAAAGCTACAGCAATATGAAAAAAAATCATTTGAATTTACTTAGATAGGGACTTTTGGCTAATAATCTTTTAGACGAGGGTATAGACATTAACAAAGTTCAAGGTACCAACACCATCAACCTCTGCGGGGAAAAAAACACTCTTAAGAGTACAACAAGCATAAGTAGAGGCTGAAAGGGAACTCTACAAATTAATCCTTTCTACTCAAAGARTGCCAGGGCCTCAGTGAGGATACTGGGCCTACTTTCACATGCTGCACTTCAAGTAGTAAATGGAAGAACTGAAAAGAGTTCTGAAGCAGCAGTTGCAGAGCAGAGGTCTAGACACCACACAGAAAGAAAAACTGAACAAGGTGAAGCTCTTTAGTTTACAGGAGGATGAAAACAGTCTTCATTTATATTCCAGACAAAAGAGGAATTAAAGATAAAATAGCTTATTTTTGTTCTCCATGAAAAAGTAAGTAATTTTACACTGCAGATTTATACTAAAGATTAAAGTTTAAGATTAAACATGTACTCATTAAACATTGAGGGAAAAAAATGGTAAATGTAGCAAAGCTCTTCAAAGACTGCTGAAGGAGAGTGGGAAAGCCCCATGATAAGGTTAAGAATAGAATGATCTTTCATTTCTGCCTTGGAAATGGAAAACACATTAGATGTCCCCCCTCCCCAAGTCTCCTCCAAGTTTGATGAGTCTGGTTTTATTCTGTCTTCTTTCTAAACACCACAGATTATGTATTTCCAAAAATATTTTCACCTCCACATTCTAAAGAAGAACAGTCTGATTACACATCTGTGACCTGTGGACTGAAGACTTGGCAACTTCACTCTACAGAGATTAGGTTGACTATAAGCATRCAGACGCAGTGACTGAGATCATCTGCAGGCACATTACAATGAAACACTGGGATAGCTTCTAATACTTACTTGTCTGCTGCATGACATATCGTGCCACATGTGTCAGCCATATCATCAACAAGAATAGCCACTCTGTCTTTCACATCACCAACCAAGACCATTCTGTCTACTTCATTTGCTTTCTTCCTCTCCTTATGAATGAGAGCAAATTCCACATTTAGTCTGTCAGCAATCGAAGTAACCCTAAGTTAAAGGAAGAAATAAAGCACATTTTAGAAGCTTATTTTAAAAGATAGGAGAAAGTCTACTTTATTTGTCCTAAAATTCCATTTACCATAAAAAAAMCCACCACACCGTAGCACAAACATTTGCAAGTCGTGAGACTTGGCAGAAAAACTTAATTCTGTTATTATATATAGCCACATGTATTAACAAATACTCAAGAAATAGTTTTTTAGCTCTCTTTAGTTTTCTGACACTAAACTCCTGTCTTTTAAAAGGTCATTAGGCAAATACAGTTATAAATATGACAAAGTCAATGTCTTTAGGATATTAATATAAGCAGTACTCGAGCAATGCTGGTCACTGGCTAGAGAAAAGAAGATACAGACACAGTATCCCGGCATGAGTGGTTCACTTCCCAGCACAAAACTTAAACAAGTGAAAAAAAATACTATCTTGAAGCGTTCACTACTTTTCTTCATCTAAGCCAARGAGGAATTTAGCTGCAATAAATTTATGAAATATACTTCTTTATGCATAATCTGYTTTTTTTAACATAGATATATACTGAAATACAAGTCTACTGTAAGAATTAATTTCTGAAGTAGAAGTTGACTATAAATCAGAGACAGAAAGTTTCTTATAGAAGAGAAGTGGGTAGATGCTTAGAACCTAGTGTTGTAGATTCTGGTCCTTTTAGAAAGTCTCTTTCTCTTCAAAATAGAGGATAGGAGAATTACAGGCCCAGTAATTTAACCTCTTGCACCTATTCTATAAACAGAAGTTGAATACCTGTGTAGAGGAGGGTCACTGCTAGAAGAAAAGCTGCTGTCTGAAAATATGTGGAGATCTAATGTCTCATTCTTCAAGGAAAAGCTTTCCCTTTAGTACCGCTATGGAAGAACTGCTATGAAGAAGGTTTGGGCATGGGGAAAATTAAATAACATTCAGTTGTGAAAGCCACCRCATTAGATAGCTCAAAATTAAGAAGACTTAAATACAGCTTTTAAAATCATTTCMAAGTTAACTACAGGGCTACTAGGAGCTCAGAGAAAATGTATGCATGTCATGCTAAGATTTGACTCTTAATGATATGCAGAATATACATACAAAACGTTTCAGCTATTCACAGGTTTTATTGAATTGTTGTGAAACCCAGTCATGCTAGACGGTTTAAAAGAGCTAGCCTCAATTGTAAGCATACAACAGCTTTATTTTAAAAACTGAAAATACTGTTGTCAGAAAYGTAAACATCAGACTAACGGTAAAAATAAGCAAGTTAGTGGTGATTAGTAACTTCTTTAATAACATTTGTCTAGCAATCAAGTAGTTTCTTTAGTAATTTTGTTAGCACTGCTTTTGATTGGCAAACAGCTTTTACAGTTTCTCAGGATGACCTCTGGTGGCCAGACACAACTCCACTAACAAGCTTTATTTTTATTGTTAATTATTCTAATTAAATACATGGCTTTATTCATTTTTTAACTATACTCAAGCTGTCGGACATATTCTAAGAAATACTGAATACTGAGCATGCTTTGTCCATGATGGCACAGTCTTGAAGGCTGTCTTAGAATATTTTTTAGAACACTATTAACAAGGTTCACAGTGGTTCAGTTTCTCTAGCACTTAAATATGAAAGACAAGTTTGTTTGCTGCAGCTTTTCAAACTAGACTGATAAACAAAAAAAAGATGTTAAAGTGTTTTCACATTTTTGTGCTGAACAGTGTAATTTCAAAGCAAATCTCAATACCTCAGAGGCATTAAGATACCAATAGAACCCACATGCCTTACTTCAATCATAAAACTTAATGAGCTGGAAAGTCACCAAGCAAATGGTAGGAAACAGAGAAGTATCCAGATGTTCAAAATATCAAGCAAACAAGACACACATTTAATGTGTCTGATTATTCTTAAGGCATTATTCACATTCTATTCACTTTCATTAAGTCGAGCATTAACTTAAAGGTCCGCATGTTTTAAATGAAAAAGCCAAGAACATCTTTAGGTTATCTTACTGATAACAAAAAAGTTGTAAATTTATGGTAAGCAACATTCTCCCTCACGACAACAGCCTTCCTGAATTCTGYGTTTCAACAGAAAGGTATCAAGACAGATTTTATCCATATTAGACAGAATCAAAGTAGTCCTCAAGAATAAATTCTCATGAATCTAATACACAAATGTAACTTTAAAGTGAGCTTTTCACCTCATTGGCAGCCTTTGTCACTTCATTAACTTTTTTCCTGAACTTTTGCATTAGTTTATAGGTATTACGTCCCCTCAACAAGTAACATGCTGTGCATAAAGCATCATTACAGTTATCTAAGTTTCTATCTACTTTCACCATTTGCCACTCAAAGCAATACCTCATTATCTTTTTGTAGTATTCATAGTACATAGCTCGAGTCAGTAGGTTTACAAAGACTTCAGTAACTTGAAGAAAAAAGAAACGTGACTCAAGCAAGGTCTTACCTAAATGCCAGCAGGTACAATGAGGGCAGGCCATTTGCTTTAACAGAGAAGAAACTTAGGCAAACACTGAGTCAAGTAGGAAGAGATGCAGCAACTGGACTAAAGCAGGGAAAAAAAAAAAATCTTTCTCTCCATAATGGGATTCAGCTAATGAGACCATATCCAGGGAGAGAGAAAAACATTTTCTTTAGAGTACAGAAAGCTCCTGGATGTTTTCAAGCAACAACATTTAGAAGAACTAGYTATGCTGTTGTTTTAACAAGGCAGCTGGTGTCAGTGATGCCCCCTCTTTTCTCAAGGGAGAATTCAAGGGGGAGGAGGATGAGAAAGAATACATCACATAGTTCATTGCTCACTGTCAACAGCTTCAACAGTACCTTTTTGCACCACCTGCATCAGGTGAGACTATGATACAATTTCTCCACTCCGCAATGTTCTCCTTTATCCACTGTAGCACTGCAGGCTCTGCATACAGGTTATCTACTGGAATGTCAAAGAAACCCTAGTGCAAGAGAGAAACAGTTTCATAAATATACATTTATTTTTTAGTTGAAAGACAACAGGGAAAGAGTCAAGTCTTTGCATCATATAAGGTTAGGACTTCCAGGTTAATGTATAAGACTAATTATTCTACCACCTGCTAGTTCTATCAAATTGAGAGGAAGCAGAAGTGTACTAAGAACTCTAAAAATCTCACACAAAGTAGTGAAATGAAAAACCTTTCCCATTATATGAAACTTAAAAACACCAGGTTCAGACACCTAAGTAAATTCACAGTTGTGAAGAAGTCTCAACAAAACAACTGAGCTTCCATATATTTTATTTCTTAAGAGTAATTGCTCAACACGAGTATTAGGATTTCAGTCTGGGGAAGATTCAAATTAGCATTACTTGAGCAGCAGAATGGAATCTTTCTCTTCTTCATGGAGGAGAAGATCTGCTTTTTATGCAGATGATAGCAATCAGAACCATAGAATACTTAAGGTTGGAAGGGACCTCAGAGGTCATCCAGTCCAACCCTCCTGCTCACACAGGGTCACCTAGAGCACGTGGCACAGGGCTGCATCCAAGTGGGTTTTAAAGATCTCCAAAGAAGGAGACTCCACAACCTCTCTGGACAGCCTGTTCCAGGGCTCTGTCACCCTCACTGTCAAGAAATTCTTTCCTAAGTCTGTGGAACTTTCGGTGCCTCAGTTTGTGGCCATTTCCTCTAGTCCGGTTGCTGTCCACCACTGAAAAGAGGCCAGCCCCCTCCTCCTCACTCCCTCCCTGGAGGTATTTGTACACGCTGATCAGGTCCCCCCTCAGCCTTCTCTTCTCCAGGTTGAACAGGCCCAGCTCCCTCAGCCTTTGCTCATAGGGCAGATGTT